GAGCAGACTGGCCAGTGTGGTAAAGACTGTCTAGCACTGTACCCACCCGGGAGCAACTTGCAGGCCGACAGCACAGGCCTGCCTCTAACATCGATACTGACACCAGTGAGGAGCGATACTGACACCAGTGAGGAGCGAGCTTCTCTGAGCAAGCCCCCGCAGGGGGCCAGCAGGGCAGCATTTGCCCAAAAACAATCTCAGGAGGCAGGAAGGGCGGGGCAGGAGAGAAGGCTGAATGGGAGCTGGAAGCCGGGGAGGAAGTGGGAAAGTGCTGCTCCATTGAGGGGATTGCCACAGTGTCACCAAGCAAACTACACTGCCGACCAGACGACGAATCCGCCCAATACACGTCCCCCCAAATGCCCCACCCACCCCACGCCAGGGACAGAAAGGCAGACAGCTGGTGCTTCGTGGCATAGCCCCACGGGACGTAGTCATACCAGGAGCTTCTGAACAGCAAAAATGACCTCACACAACTTTCATGGAAATCCCGCTCTGTCACCCTTTTGATATTGTGGACTCGCACACCACCGTGTTGTGAGAATTTGGATTGGTGTTTTTGTTTTGGACAAAGAAAACCGAAGCCAGCAGGTTCCCGCAGCTCAGGGCAGTGCTTGTAGGAGTGGCCCCATTCTCCTGGGGACCTCGGCCTGTCCCTGCCCCTCGCAGCTCTGAAGTAGCTGTCGGTGGAGAGAGAGCAGGTCATCCTTCCTTATGCCCCTGAAGGGCCGCCACAACCACCCGCTATCCCCCCCACCCCCCACCCCCCACATGCTCAGAGTCCATTTTATGTTCATGTAAAGTTGCCTTAAAAGTTAAGAGATTTCAAGTCTCAAAAGTCAGGTACCAGCATGTAGGGTTATTAGGGTTAGGACTTTCCTACAGGCTGGCAGTATAAACTTCAGTTGCCTCGTTTGCTAAATTGGCTGCATTAAATACAGCAGGACTCATCTAGTGTGCTGGGTATCCAGGTATGATACAATCGTGAGAGCTTGGAGGGAGTACCTCTGACCTGAGCCCCCATCCTCCCCCTGGGCAGGGGACGCACCTTGCCAAGCCCGTCCTGGTTCATCGTCAAGCTGACTGGCGAGGATCTAGGAAACTGGGTGACAGGAGTGTAGAATTAAGCCAGCTGCTGATTATAAAGAATTAAACCCTTAATTCAACCTCTGACCAGTTCCCATGGGACTGACGGGAACATTCCCAAGGTTGGCTGGCTGGCTGGGTTCTGTTAGGTTCTCATGTGCCATACGTAAGACCAAATGAGACAGTCACTATTGCCTTTGCATAGCATACCCCCACCTCCCAATAAAGAGGGCTTGTCATCACTCAAAGAGAGACCTTGGGAATTTATACTTAACGGGTTAAAGCCACCTTTAAATAGTACTCAGGAGCTCTGGTGGTGTAGCGGTTATGTGTTGGGCAGCAATCCGCAGGGTCTTTAGTTTGAAACCACAAGGCGCTCCTCAGGAGAAAGATGAGGCTTCTACCCCTGTAAACATCTGAGAACTCCACAGGGCCACTTCTACCCTGTCCTGTACTGGCGCTATGAGTGGGCATCAACTTGATGATTGTAAGATTGGTTTTAAATAGTAATGGGGACAGGATACCTTGAAAATACCCCCAATAAGATTTTTTTTTCATCTTTTGACTTTACAGCCCTGCATTCTATTAAATAACAGCTTTTCAGCGATCACACACATTAGCACAGTTAATGGGTCTCTTTCTGATCCGTAAGATTGCCAATTTTAGTGTGTCCTGAACCTGGTGCAGTTTGATGTCTTTGGTTAATACAACTCTTATAACTACAAAGACATGACACGGCATCTGGCAGCTCCTTCCACCCTCTGCTTAGGATGTCCCAGGGTCCCATGTCTGGGGCTGCCTGCTTAGAATCATATAGGGAGCCCAGAGCCGTGCAGCCTCCTGGTCTACCCACTGTCTCACTCCACAGAGGCCTCCACAAACTCATGGGCGTGTCTGCGGCAGCGCCATGATTCAAGTCGACAGCAACTGAGCTTACTAGTCATTCACTTTCAGTGGAAGCAACAGGCCATTGCCTGTGTTTCTCCTTCACCAGCCGCCCCCAGAAAGGACTCAAGCCCCGTCTATAAGTGGAGGGCATTGAATCCAGTCAGCAAGCCCCATATTGCCTTCTTCCAGGCTGGCTAGATTTTAACAGGCGACTGGGTACTAGCTTTGCTAAACTGACCCCCACACAGACTGACTTCTTCCTTCAAGCTTCTGGTTGCCAACTCACCCAGGGAACAGGCAGAACTTTGTAAACCACACAGGTAAGTAAGGTGTTAAATAGAATTCAGTAGGATTTGCCCGGGGTCTGGGCGAGTTATTTTTTATTGTATTTGATGTAAGAAATACTGGGTATGCTCACAGGTGTGCATGCCCAGGAGAGAGAAGCTAGATGTTTCCTTGACACGAATGGCGAAACGCCAAAACACAACCCTGTAGAGTCGGGACTCGATCCCTCTCCCACCAACTCCAGGAGCAGCATCTCAGCCACACCTGGCCTGTGGGCATTCATAGTTAGGGGAAGAGTGAATAGCTCAGTTTATCAAACACTGGTAACTGGGCCAGCGCTTTTTACCAGTCTGCCCTCTTTGTAAAACCCACAGCCTACATGTCACAGATTGTAATACTGCTATAGCTTTTTCTTCACGTTTGACTCTGGGACAGGAGGTAAATTACTCTCAAGTAGACCCCTGGCCAGTGCTGAGTGAGTGGGGCTCGAAACCCAATAGAGGTGGGTGACAGTGGTTCGGAAAGCAGCCCTGTGATGCCCTGCAGGGGTGTGGCTGCTTTGTCCTCCTGCGGGTGTCGACGCCCGGCTCCTGAAGAAGAGCCTTACTAAGACCACACCTGCAAAGCACACTGCAGGCCCCCAGGCGCAATAGAGCCCCCAAAGAAAATGTTCCAGAAGGCCTGACTGCTGACAAGCAGTGGAAAATAGTACGGATGTGTTGCCTGTGCTGTGCTAACTGTAGTCAGTCCTTCGGGACTACAAGCCTGGGAAAGGGAAGTGACCTCCGCGTGCTGCAGTGCCCGACTAGATCTTCATGTCTGCCCCACTGTTCTGTCAGGTGCATTGTCATCCAACCCTTAGCGTTTGAATGATGAGCATTGGCTATCATTGTGTGACCGTGGCCATTTTTTAATGTGGTTGGCTGTGTCTGCAGGCAGTCAGCCTGGTTCACCCTCAAGTTGCCCGTCATCAGCCGTTCTAGTCCTCCACGAGTTCCTCTGAGCGGGGCGCTGACTCTAGCTTATTCCTCGAGTGCAGATCATTCTGGAAAGGATTGCGTGTTCGGCAACTTCCACACCCACCCTCTATGGCGTAGGCGAAGCACACTCCGATCTTGAGGGATCATTGTTCAGTTCACTTGTGTGGGAACCGAGAAGTGGGAGGAAGAGTCTGACGAGCTATAAGAAAGGCCTCGGAAACTTTGAGAACGATGTTGATGTTGATGATCGCACCGCTCTCTGTATGATCGATAGGATCGAGCGATTGTAAATAGTTACCGTCTCGTAAACACCACAGGGGGAGGGGTTTCTATGAGCCAGCATTGCCTTGATGGCCGTGAGTTGCATGACATGTAAATTGCATGCCAATAAAACTATTTTGGGGAAAAAGGCCTTAAAAAGTTGGTTTTTAAGTGCTTTTCTAGAGCTCTGAATCAGCATCAGCATGATTGACCTTCTACTTTTTGATTTTATTGACGTTGCTCAGAAACTACCCGTGGGTTTTTAAATTGCCTCGCCCTGAGCAGAACATCAGCACTTGCTTGCTGTGTGCACACACTTCCCATCCTAACAGTGAGCTGACAGCAGCCACGTGTGACTAGCTGTTGAAATCCACGAGGCTGCTGCTTCTGGGCACAGTTTGCTCGTCTCTTTCTCTGGGTGTCAAGCGTTTCCTTGTGAGTGGAGAGCGTTGTTGTCCTCGGGTGGTATGAAGATGGGCTCTTTGGATTACACCCAAACGCAGCCGCCTCCATGTTCAGCTCTCCCATGGCTATGAGCGGGCTCGCTAGACAATCGGATGAATGTGCTGGGCGTGATGTTAGTGACAGCCTAATGGAAGGGCCCAGCTCCCTCTTTCTCCTCTTCAGAAATGCCTTTGCTCCTGAGGCCAGTACAGCTCCTCTACCCATGTGGTGTTTGGAGTCTTGAATCCGTCTTCATTGGCTCCATTAATATTGAGACAAAACACGCAATTACACTCACCCATTAGCCCTGTGGCAGCTCGTGGTAAGCCTGGCTGTTTCGGTGCCCATCACAGCACCTACTGCCATAGAAACGTTTTCATTCACACAGCGGCTTCGAGTGTCTGTTTCTTGCGTACTTTGCTTTGGACAGGGCAACCGTGTCTCCTGATACTCCCGTGTGATGTTGCAAAGTTTCCTGGAAATGCTACTTTGTGTTAAGGCCCCAAATCATTATTGTACTGACAACCCTGTATTTTTATGTTCCGATATGCTTCAAAGGAGCCCTGATGGCATTAGCGCCCTGCACTGAGGTCAGCACTTTAGAACCACCAGATGCTGTGTAGGAGAAGGGTGAGGCTGTCTGCTCCCCGTGGAGATTTCCAGTCTCGGGCAGCTGTAGCCCAGGAAGTTCTACTCTGTCCTGTAGGGTCGCTGTGAGTGGGAATTGGCCGGACGGCAGAGTGCTTGGTTTGAGTGAGATAAGGGTTCAAGTGTATCTCTCTCATGATACTTTTCGTACTATCTTTGTGGTGGGTATTTGTCTTCTTGAAATGGCAACATAAACTTAAAGCATTAAAAAAATGTTTGTAATTCACTGACTGTGCAGTTTTAAAAAAGGGATGTAACGTACCTGGTCACAATAAACCTTTAATACATTGCTGTAATCCTTGTAATCAGAGAGCTTCGAACCACAGGAGGAAGCATGAAGTGGACTTGGGAGTGCTCAAAGTGGTTTTTGGGAAACAGTGTCATGTTGTTTTCTCTGTTCCGACGCAGCTTCCATGAGGCAGTCCCAGGCTGACCCTGCAGAGCTGCGCCCGGAGGTGTGGATTGCTCAAGAGTTGCGGCGAATTGGAGACGAGTTTAATGCCTATTATCCGAGGAGGGTAATGCTATTTTCTTTTCTTCTTTTTTTCCACCTCGAATTTACCTCCCCCTACCATGGTTTACAATAACTACATAAATGACTGATAATGATTAGATTCCTCTTCTGATAATGAGAGCCCATACTGCCCTTTGTGCCACCTCCCACGGTGTCTCCTCCCATTCCCCAAGTGCTTGATGCTGAGCTTCAGTGATGAGGAATTATTAAATGCAGTGTCAGGTGGCCAAGGAAGTTATTGAACACAAGCCTTAAGACAGCAGTGCTAAGAAGACGGATCGTTGTATGCTTCAAATAGCTCTACAGAAATCATACTTGTTTTCAATCCACATAGGCTCAGTTTTAGGTCAAAGTTACAGAAAGTGAACACCCCTGTTGATCTCGCTGTACATTTATTGATTGAACTGTATTCGCCTGGAGGCCACTAAACTGATAGCCTGTGGTTGGGGTAGAAAAACTTTTAACTATGGACATGATGGACTGCACTTAAATTTTTAGGCGTGCTTTGTTTTAATCAAACTTTTATCATCATCTGTAGAACAGGGTATTTGGGGGGGGGGTTGTTTTGCCTGGTGGCAGTGTGTGTGAGCATTTATTTGGATGCCTTTTCCACAGGGAAGACATTTGGAAATTGATAGGCTTTCCCACTGGGCGTTAGGGCTGTTGTGAGCATGTGTGACTTGACTTTTGTATGGCGTGCATTAATAGACGGGTGATGTAATATTTTTCTTAAAATCTTTGTTTCTTTGTGTTGGTTTATCTAAACGGAAGGCAGTCTAGTCTGTTATGGAAAATGTAGTTGTTAATAGTATTCTTTCTAATTTTGTTAACTTCTCCCTTATTTTTTCTAAATGTTATTTTTTGGAGACTTTTACTATTGCACTTTTTTTAGTCATAATTTTTTTTAAAATGAAAAGCAGTCAGGTTCAGGGCACCTCAGTGCTTCTCTTTGATGTTAACTATTAATTAGTTCGCTTTCTTTTTTAACTAGCTATTCCTAAGTAAGTGGATGTTGCCTTTTCATCACTTTGAATCATTCCCCTTTTCCCGTTCAGGCTCATTTTGAAAGACACCCCTTGGCATTTTCCCCAATAGCGGCTTTCAATTCTCAGCGTAGAGCTCCCTAAAGAAGTCAGGGGCTCTGGGACCCTCTTCCTGCAGAGTGTATCGTGTGTGTGGAGGGGAAATGGGGTGTAGTCCTGGCTTTATGGTTACATGAGAGTGTCCCATTGGATGGATGGGCTTAGAAGCCTCTCACCTGGTTTGCATTGGCACGGAGCCTGGCTTTTACATACCTGCTGTGGACCAGCCTACCAAACAGCAATTCCTTCTCAGCTGAGCTCTGAAATGGTCATTGGGGGAGGTTGATCGGTATTATGGTTTGCCGCTGAAGTCACTCTTCTCCCAAAGCCCTCTGCCTTGGCTTACCTCAAGGATGTTGATGTGGCCATGTGGGAGGCACAGAGTGGAATCGGGTGCCGGCTAGTGAAAATACGGGTCGCAGTGCTGAGCACGAGGAAGTGGTCATTTGAAGAGGGTAGACGGAATGCCCCCGAGTCCTGGTTCCAGAGCACGGCAGGGCAGCAGCTTTTCTCAGGGGAGTAGGTATTTGGAATGAACCCAGGCCTTGGACTGACCATGGTCCTGAGCCTCACTCTGAAGGGGATAGGTAGCTCTGGTGCCCTCAGAGTCCATGCATGCGCTACCCCGGACCCTGAGGTGGGCATGTTCTCAGACTGGGTCACTTGTGCCCAGTGTGGTCACTGAGCTGCTGTGCTTACTGGGATGTGTGCCCTTCTCGGCACTGTCTGGTACATATGACTGAAAGGCTTTCCGAGAAGTGTCCAGAAGTGTTCCTGGTGAGCTGCTGGGGGGTCAGGGAAGAGGGATTGGAGCCCTCACTGACGTGAGTGGGTGACAAGTTCCCGTGTCACGCGCAGTGAAGCACAGACATGGGTTTGCCTCCTTGGATGGTGGGATTGAAGTAGGATAAGCATATACCATCTTTCCCTCCTCTCTGTATGTCACCCTTTGATTAGGCTGCGGGTGTTGAAGGTTGCCTTACCGGTCTTTGTCAAATGCTTCTGGTACAACAAATAGACATAGTCCCATCGCAGTATTTTATCATTGTGCATTTTTCTTGTGATTACCTTGTTTTGCATATCTTTAATGATCTAGTGCAGAAATAACTGCAGGACTTTAGGCTTTCTAAGTAATCGAGGATATTGGGGATCAGTGGTAGGATCTAATTTTTCTAAAATTAAAAGGTGATAATTTCCACACGTTCAAAACACCAGACTCAGAGACTGAGGGTAGAAACAGCGACCCAGGAAACCACAGAGACCTGTTGAGAGTGGTGTGCGAGAAATAGCCTGGATGTCCACTGTATGTAATCACACTGGTGGCCCATCGTTAACTGTTGGGGTGGAAATCTGGTGCAGGGGCGGGGGAGGCAGCTGTGGAACGGACTGCATTCAAATGACCTGCCCTCCAGGGGGGAGCTGGTGCCCGGGGCTGTATGTACGGTAGTGGGTCTGAGCGATTGAAATATTTTGTGTCTGTATGTGCTTAATACTATGCTACGAGTACGAAACTTTCTAAAGTGTTCATCTTTATTGCTATGCGCCTTTTGAAGCCTGACAGGATATTTTCCCATTTTTTCAGTTAGAGAAATAGAGGAAGTTGTCCTGTAGTTGTCATGTATTGAGTCCACTTAAGGGCAGTGGGGAAGCATATGAGACGGAGCTGTGGCATCTGAATCCTTGAAGGAGGAGGTGAGAGAGGCAACCAGGTGAGCGCAAAGTCCCAGTGCATGTTCCCTTCCTCTCCTGAACTCGGCTTGCATCGCCCGCCCACCTGCCTGCCTGCCCGCCAGGATGGCTGGCAGGGCCAGGCGACCAGCCCCGCCCATTTCATGAGAGTGTTGTGTGTGTGTGTGTGTATGAATTTTGATTTTGAGATAACTTTAGACTTTGCAAGAATGCTACAAAGAACCCTCTTACATTTGCCACCCACCCAGTGTGAATGTTTTAGCACATTTGCTCAGCGTTATCTGTCTTTATATAGATATATCTGCCTTTTTTGTTGGTTTGTTTTATTGATTTTGTTTTCAGGACCAATTGAGAATAAGTTACAGGCACAGTGCCCTTTTACTACTAAAGTCTTAAGTGTGTGTTCCCCAAGAATATTAGTCTCTTCTGTGATCATAGTGTAATTTTCAGAATCAGGAATCTGAACTCTGAACCATATTCAAATTTTACCAGTTGGCCCAATATGTAGAATATGGTGGTAAAATCATAATAGTAAAGCATAGTTTGGGCCCAAGAACCAATTCCGGATCGTGTCTGCACTTGGCTTCAGTGTCTCATTTGTCTCCTCCCTCGGTGACCCGTCTTTCAAGTCAGCTTGGGAGGAAGGGCATAGGACAGTGGCAGCCTCTCCCTGAATGTAGCATGTTGTGTGTTTGTATGATTTGGCTCCGACATTGCACCCAGGAGGGACACATGTGCTTCTCAATGCATCACACACGGTGCACACCTGGTCCCATTTCTGCTGATGTTACCTGCGATGCTTTGGTTCAGGTGGGATCTTGTGCGGAGTTATTTTTCTATTTGCAGTGGAAGGAAAGTACTCGTAAAGTGGGGCAAGAGCTTCGTCTTCTCTCCTATTCAGTTGGCTTCCTGTTCCGTACCGTGGGTGGTTCTGCATTACTCTCAGTATTCATTTGGTGCAGAAATTGCCCCCCAGTTTGGCTAATGGAGGCCTCCCAGTGCCTTTTTGGCCAGGCCCTTCACATCCCAGTGCCTGACAGCACAGGCACCTGCACAACGTGTTGTGGGACCGAACCCAAGGGGAGTGGAGCTCTTATAAGGCAGTTTTGTGGAGCGACAGGTGCCCACCTGGTGTTGGGGAGGGGGGGCATGTCAGGTCCCTCTGTCCAGCTCTGCCGTGTAGAGCACACTTGTGGGGCTCGGAGGAGGGAAGGCGAGGGCTGTGGGTGAAGACCAGGTGTTGGCAAGGTGCTGGTGGGCCTGTGGCGGGGAGAGCCACGGAAGGAAGCTGCATCTTGACGTGGCATGTGTGAGGAAGACAAGCACCGTGCCTTCCGCCGAGTGGGGACACGGTGTGCACGCCGTGTTTCAGCAGCTCGCACCGTGAGGCCCCTGCGGCCGCCGTCTCTTCATCTTCCTCCTCCCTCGAGGGGGCATCCTCACCAGGCATCCAGGTGTCTGTCTTTTTGTTCTTTACACAGCCCTGGCCCATCCGCTGGACATTGTGTCGGCAGGTGGAGGTCACGGCTGAGTTGGTGGCGCCTGTCTGCCCGCATTGGCAGGCATGGAGCGCTGTGTGCCCACCATAAACCAGCCCTGCATTAATGGGCCCACTGGGAGGGAGGAGGGGTCCAGGCTATGGGGGGTCTGGTATGTGTCACCAGGCCCTTCAGAATGGAAAGGCACTTGACCTCAGATTAAGACCCGCGCTCCAGCCCAAACAAACCCAAACTCCCTGCCATCTCGTTAATTCCGACTTGACTTGGGCCCTGTGGACAGAGTAGAACTGCCCCTGTGGGTTCAGACTAAACCCTTACAGACAGCTTCCCCTCTGAGTGGAGAAAGCTGGTGTGAACCACCACGCTTCAGCCTGGCAGCTGAGTGCTTTCCTCGCGGTATCTCCAACGCTCCTCCTGAGAGCGGAGTCCTCCCCAGTTCTGGGCAGCCCCCGGGACTTCCCACGGCTTTCTTGGGGTGGTCAGGCTGTCCACCCTGTTGCTCTGTGTGCCAGATGGGGACCTGGGGAGCTCAATGGATAGCAGCCCATAAAGCTGAGACTGACTTTAGACAGGACGAGAAATGAATGAAAACCCTCTCTCATGGTTCTGCTTTAACTAGAACCACCACCAGCAGTGTGTCTGTGCAGGCAAGGGCAGGTGCGAGCAGGCGGCCCCTGTGCAGCCTGGAGGGCCGCGCTCTGCTGCTGGCACGGGGAGCACGACCTGCGATCGCA